ATGTTCTGGGAAGACGAAAACCACGAAGTGGCCTACAGTTGGCCCCGGGCATTCAAAATGTGGCCTGGGAATGGTGTTGTGGGAACAGAATCCGCGGGAATCCATAGGAAACTATAGGAAACTATATATAAGAGTCCTGGGGGGTCCCCGGATTCCCCGAATTCTCCCGGCGCCCGCCCAGACCCCCCGGGGGATCAAGATGCTCTTTTGACCCCGCTAGAAACCTATCAGTCTTCGCTGTTATGTAACAACCTCGCCCGTGAACCCTGCCCCCATGGCGCAGCTGGCCAGGGCGCGCAATGGGGGGCGAGTGCCATCGGCGCGCGCCCCAGATAAAGCGTCCACGCTGGACCTCATGATCGCGTTTCGAAAGATGTAAGAGGTTCGGGCCACTGGCGAACAAGTCGGACTTTGGCGAACGGGCGAATGGCCAGCCACCGGGGCGCCTCGACCCAGCGCTTCTCGGCGTCGCCGCGACGCAGGGAATCAGCGGGCCGAGGCGGGGGCGGCTCCGCGGCCATCGCCACGATAGCCCCCGCCGAACTGGCGGGCAGGTCGAAGGGGGGACGGCGCGCCAACATGAGATGCGAGGAGGATGAAGGGGGGGGGGGGGGGGAAGGGGGGCAGCACCGCCCCTTTTGTTTCTTTTCTCGGCGCGGGGGGGCGGGGGGGGCGCGGGGGGCGAGAGGGGCTGGGGGGCGAGGAGGGGGGTGGGGGGCGAGGAGGAGGAGGGGGACGAGGAGGAGGAGGAGGAGGAGGAGGAGGATGAGGAGGAGGAGGAGGAGGAGGAGGAGGAGGAGGAGGAGGGGGCAGGGCAGGGATTCGGGGATTTTGGAAGCGGCAGGGGATGAGTGGCGGCGATCTCTCGTCGCCAACGCCCCGCCCCCCCCCCCCTGTGCCAAGCGAAATATCCGCCAGCCCGTTGGGCGCGAGGCGCGGCGCCCTTCCCGCCGCCCGGCTAGCCCCCTGGCCCGGGCGGCCCCAGGACGGCCCCAGATAGCCTAGCCCACTACCATTCGGCGCCCAGGATGACCCTGGATAGCCTCGGGGGTGGCCCAGAAGACTTCATGGCTCCCAAGGCGGCCGGGGGCGTCGCAACGTCGCTGAATGCCCACTCGACGAGCCAAGGAATCCCAAGGCCGTTCTGGGACGCGCTAGAGCGGCCGCTGGATCCCCGAGGAAACCCCCAAGAGGCCCGCGTCGGCCCGAGACCTCAGGCAAGCCAATGTCACGCGCCTTCTCGCAAGCATTCTTCCGACGGCCCTCGGCGCGCCCAGCTCGGCGCCGGGGCCGACGGGGGCCCTGGGGGGGCACCCGAGACGGCGCCGCGACTGCGCCGACGCGGCCTCGACAGCACAGCGCCCAGGCGCGCCCCCAGCGGGCGCCGGAGGGTCGTTTCAACGAAGCCAGCGCGGCGGGGGAATGGGGGGGGCAAAGGGGGCGGTCGGGTTGGAACCAGAGACGGACGAGTCCCCCCAGGGCGCCGAGGACCCCCGCGATGGGGGATGCCCAGGTGGGCCCCGAACAACGGCGCCCTGGGGCTGACCCAAACGCCCCCCCTTCCAGAGGCTGCCCCACGCAGAAATCTCAGTCGCGCAGGCCCGCGCGCGTGAATTTTCGCCATCGACGCCGTCGTCGTCGTCTAGACGGCGAAGGAAGAGGAGGAGGGCTGCGCCTGAGAGGAACTCGCAACAGGCCGTCTGCTGCCCCCAGCAGCAGGGGGGGAGGGGCGGGGGGAGGGGCGCGGGGGGCAAGGGGGCAAGATGCGGGGGACGCGCGCGAAGCGCCAAATATTTTAGATGCAAATCCAAGAAAAGGCTCTCCATTTATATGAACCTGCTTTTAGCGGTGTCGAGCTGGTTCCAGCGGTTCCTGTCGACGACGGGCACGCCGGTGCTAAGCAGCAGCGCGGCCAGGTCACTCCCGACGCACTTCCAAACGCGGCCCCCATCGACAGCGGCATTGAGAGACAATCAGACATCGACGTCATCGGTCTGTGCATGGTGGCCGTTCTGCATCTATATATATATATGTATGTAGAGATGAGCGACGCCTTGTCGCAAGGGGGAAATGTTTGTCGCCGCGGAGCGCCAAACGGGCGGCACGTCGCACGCGCGGCCGCACGCGTGGCGAGGTTTATATTCTCTGGCACAAACGCATGAGAGCCCGCGGCGCCTTCACGCGCTTGCTGTTGTCATGCGTGACAAGCCACCGACGGATCATGCCTTGAGCCGCGTCGTCATCAGCCAAGGCGCACATGTGGCGTTTGATACGGGTCGCTAGGTGACTCTCTCAAACCAGCTCAAGGGAAGGCCAACCAGAGCCTCGCCGACGGAGGACCTTGTCCCCAGCTTTCGGGTTCACCTTGGCGCTGTCAAAGATTACGCGGCGAAAATAATGGAAAAGCGTCCCCGCGCGTTCTGACACTGCCCCTCGCACCATCCAAAATTCCACCACGCATTCCCGATGTGCTGTGCACGTGCCGCAGCAGGTTGACTGTGCTATCACGGACGTACAACCATGATCCATCACAGCAGTCACGGACATGGACGCCAACGTTTGTTTTGTTCTGCAATATATTCAGCTTGGCAGCTGCCTCTACTGTAGGTTTCACAACGACGACCTGCAGCGACATCGATGCCGACGCAATCGCCAACCCAGGCCCAGTGCATTACACGCCGACGGGCCTGCCGTCAACTGAAGCATCATCGAAATCACGGCAGCCGAACTTCACCGGAGCGTCATCGTACAAGTCGACGTCGGTGCATTGCGTGGGGTGCAGATGCCGTGGCCTCGCTGGATGCGGGCGCCATGGTATACGTCGTGCCATAAAGAGCTCTCCGCAGCAAGCATCAACAAGGTATACAGCGACCGTCTGTCTATCTCCGAAAACTCCGCCTGGACTCCCTTGCTCACCACTTGGAGGGAACTCGCCGCAGACGTGCCTCTTCATGGCTGGGGCTGCGTTCGCATGGAATCATAGCTGGGGCTGCGTTCGCATGGAAAACGAAAGAGAGAAATAACGGAACAACAAAACTCAGGTGCGCATCCTTGTGGTCGCAAGCCTTGCGATCCGAGAAACATGTCAACTTGACGTCGTCGCCCTCGCACGCCGTCGATGGCAGCGCGGTCAGCTGATGTGTCCGCGTGCCCCCCTGCCCCTGCCTCGCCCTCTTGACGCGCAGAAGCTCTCTCGCCTCCTCCAACTGCTCAAAGCGAAATCGCGGGGGGCGCGCGGCGGTAGCCTCCGCGCCGTCAGTGCGCGTCACCATCTGTCCGGCGGCGGCGCAGTTGAACGTGAGCGGGCGGAGATGTTATCTGCGTGTGGCCGCCGACTGCAGCGCCGTCGGCGGCTGCCACGCCGCCGTCCGACGCCCACGGGTCACGATCCTCGCGGGCAGCGGCCTCCCGCCCACGGATCGGCGCCGACACCCGCGCCCATGCAAAGGCGACGCCTGCATGCCAAAAGGATTTCTCAAGCCAAAACGGCCACAGCACGGAGACGTGGTGGGTGTAACGATACAGGACGATGGCCCCGGAAAGACGTGCGTCGCCACGGGTGGTTCCGCCTTTCGTCGGCGCGGCCGGATCCGCCATTCCACTTCCTGGTCGCCAGAGCTGGATCCGCTTCGAGCACGTCCCCCTGCCACGGCCGGGTCCGCCATCGGTCGCCACGACCGGTTCTGCTCTCGTCGCGGCTGGATCGCCCACCATTGGTCGCCACGGCTGGTCCCCCCCTGTGGTCGCCACGGCTGCTCCCGCCTGTGGTCGCCACGGCTGGTTTCTCTCCCGTCGCTGCTGGTCCCGCGGGTCGCCCGCCGTCGGGCGCCACGGCTGGGTCCGCCTTTGGCGGGGCCGCTGTCTGCAGCGTGCTGCCGATTGGTAACCAGCGCGTCGCCCTACAAGAATCGCAGTAAAACCATATTTGCTTGACACCACGGAAAGACGATTCCACAGATGGGAATCCTTGGCGAGCGCACGCGCGCTACTTTCGACACGTGTCGCTCACGCTTGCGCATTGCATGAAAAGCGCATCCACGACACCTTACACTACACTGTTGGTTGCGATAATTCGACAGTGTGTAGAGGCTTGGCTTGTCACGGGCGCATGGCAATACATATACCTATGTAACAGACTGGGTATGTGAGAATGGAAATGCGTGTATGCACATACATATATATATATATATATAGACACATCTTTACACGAGTGGCAGGTGCGTGCCAAGGCTCCAACATTGATGGTTGCAGCACGTGCGCATCGCAACAAAAAAACACAGATCCGAAGAGAAGGGAAGAGATGGAGAAGCCAAAAGAAAAGACGAGGACGATCCCGGACCCCCGCTTGCCGGGGGTGAGAATGCGTGTGAAATGATTTGCTGCCACCTCAACCCAAGGATGCCGCAAGGGATTCCTGGCGCATCCGCTATCGCGTGTCCTTTTCAATTGACGCCCAAGTCTGCAAAATTTTCAGGTCCCGTGGACTCACATGAACCGCGTCGACGATGACGCGCGCATGTCACCCTCGTTCGAAAATTAGCTTGGCCCTGTACAATGCGATTTCCCCGTTGGCCACGCCAGCAGCTGGTCAGCAACCGGTTGCTCTTGCGAATGTGAATGTTCGTCTTCTTTGAGAATCGCGCCTGGCACGCCATCCCCGAGTTGGCTCCGTAATTCAATTCCAGCAGACTGACGCGATCTTGCAAATTATAACCCGTGCCGAACAACAACCCTGGCTGCAAAACGGATGCAACCTCATCCAACCCAGCAGTTGTATGCAACCGTCGCGCACGTCCCGCCGAGCCATTCCATAAGCCGAGATGAAATGAGGTCCTCCCACTCCACGTTGTGCAAAACCCTACCGTGTTCAAGGCCCTACTGGGAGGGGATCACGAGGCGATGCTTGGCGGGTGCTGAGGGTTTCCGGGGGGGGATTTGCGAGTCCGTCGAGTCCTCGGGGACGTTGTCGATCAGCTGGCTCGCCTCGAGCATCACTTTGGTCACGGCGCCGTGTCTCCACTCGCTCTCTTTCCTCTCGGCCTCCTGCTCCTGCGGGTGCGAAGACTGCTTAACAACAAGTTTGACTCATGGAGGTCATATAAAAAGCCTGGCCGGTGAGCGATTGCCTCAGGTGTGAGGGGAGAACTCTTCGGCATGCCCCCCTGTCGGATCCTTTTCTTTGACGAGATCCATCTGCGCCTGCCCGTGAGCCTCTCCACGGTCTGAGCGCTCGGACGCGAGTTTCTTCAGGTAGAAGGCCTTGTTGAGCACCACGTCGTCCTTCTCCTTCCCCAGGATGCCGAGGAGTATGTAGACGACGTTGAACGACATGCAGCCCACGATCATCGCCACCACCAGGACCTCGGGGACGGAGCATCACGGAGGGGATTGGGCAGTTGGCGGAGACGGGAGAAAGAGCGGTCCCTTCCCTCCCCCTCCCCTGTCGACCCAGAAGACAGGCAGGAGAGGGGGCGGCTGCGGAGGAAGGCCAGAAGGACGAAGGGAGACCGTAAGGCGAGTGGGCAAGGGGCCGAATGGGGGGAGGGCAAAAAGGAACGACGCGAGCGAATTACCCATCACCCCCTCCCCCCCCCTCCTCCTCCTCCTCCTCCTCCTCCTCCTCCTCCTCCTCCTCCTCCTCCTCCTCCTCCTCCTCCTCGCCCTCCTCCTCCTCCTCCACAGGTTTGAAGCGGAGCCACAGGAATTGCTGCTCTTCATGACGAATGTCGTGTTTGTTTGACAAGGCGGATGGAGGAGTTCGTCCGATAGGCTTGCTCGCTTTTTTCTTGAAAATATGGTCTCGGGTGCGTCAGCCGCTACTCCAGAAATGGGAGCAGGGTCATATGTATGAGGTGTTCTGGGGAGTCAGTGGGGCCACAACCTGTGAAAGAGCTGGTTGGGTTCACGACCTCTTGGGTAGCTTCAGCACGTCTGCGGGGTTTGATTATGCGACGGCCTTACTAGACTTGAGCAAGTTCTATGAACACATATCTCACGAGCACCTGCACGACGCGGCACTGCAGTTTGCGTTCCCCATCCGCTTGTTGAGATGTCTGTGCGCACTCTATATTTGCCCGCGCACACTCTTGTACGGAGGCGCGGTGTCGCGCAAGGTTTGGGAGAATGGCTCGGTCATTGCAGGCTGCAGTGGGGCGACCTGCCTCGCGAAGTTGCTCCTCCTCGGGCCTCTCCTCCAGGCCAGGCTCGGGAGGCCACAGTTGTACATTCGGAATGTGGTCGACGACATAGCGATGCAAGTGTGTGGAAGTCGAGAGCAGGTGGCTAGAGTTCTGAGTCAAGGAGTAGAGTCGGCCCTCGACGACTTCGAACGTCTTCGTCTGCCTGTCGCGGGGAATAAGACTAAGAACCTGTGCAGCAAAGAGGTTGACCGCCTCCTCCAGGGAAGCTGGCGAGTGTCAGCCTCTTCGCGAGTGGACGCAGCTCGGAACCTGGGAGCGGATGCCACCATCGGTTCGTGCAGGCGTGCAGGGATTTCTAGGAGCAGAGTTGCCGCTGCGATGTCTCAGGCGAACAGGCTACAAATCCTCAAGGATTCTGGGGCTGAGATGGGCCTCATCCAAAGAGTGGGGGCCACGGCAGTGGCGCTCTGGGGCAGCAGCGTCACAGGCATCCCGCCGTCGGCCATGCATGGGTTGCGCGTCGCGGCTGCCAAGAATGTAGGTCGACTGCCCCTGGGTTCGAGCTTAGGTCTTAGGCTGCACTCGTTCCGATTGGGGTTCCTTGCGGACCCTCTCGTGGCCTACCCTGGCCGTGTGGTCTTCCAGTGGGCCACGGCCGTGTGGGACAGTGTTCCTTCTGCGATCGTCCTTGGGGCGACGATGGACGCAGCTCGAGAAAAGCTCGCGGACCGTCAGCACCCTTGGATGGTGGCCTCGTCGCCTGCGGAGGTTGCGTATTTGCCTGTGCAGCGTCTAGGATGGGAGTTTCTTTCCAGCAGTAAGTTGAGAGATGATCTAGGCACGACCTGGAATCTTCTCCAAATCTCACCGTCTGAAGTTCGAGCGCTGGTGCAGGAAGGTGCGGTCAGGGCCTCCGATCGGCAGGCTCTTGAGAGTTCAGGCCGACTTGGGAGCAAGGGCCCCCTCCTGAAGGGTAGCGTGGTTCCAGTTTTCTGGAAAGGTCTGAAGCCACTTCTTCGCGCCAAGACGAAAGGGTGGACAGGTCATCACCAACGAGCACTGCGAGCGTTCGTGTGCAACGCGCACTGGCCTCAGGTGCGAGTGCACGGCCATGGTTTGCACGAGTCGGACCAGTGCCAAGTGTGCAAAAGAGGCAAAGGCACGCTGTGGCACAGACAGTATGCTTGAGATGCGCATGCGACAATCAGGAGATATGGAATCTCTCCCTGGCTCGCTCAGAGAGCTGACCGTGTCTTGGCGGGCGGGGAGGCGGAGGGGGAGCGATTTGCGAGATGCATTCTGCCCAGCCCGCGTGCGGTCACCCCGAGGGTTGAGCCCAGCGAGACGATCTGCTGGGTGAACAGACTCACGTCGGGATACCTCACAGGCTGTATTTTCAGTGACGGCTCAGCCATGTGGCCGTTCCTGCCAGGAGTCTCTCGGGCGGGCTGGGCGCTGGTGCAGGTGGGTAGGTTCGGCCGCCTGCTGCATGCAGTGTTCGGCCCTGCCCCGCTCTGCTTCGGTCCTCGGCAAATGGCCAAAGATGGAGAAGACGTTGCCGTGCACATGCTGACTCAGGTACGGCAAGGGCCGTTCGAGCTGTTTCTCGACTGCAAAGCCAAGCTTGATGTTTTGCAGGGTGGCCCTGGCACAGACTCGGAGTCGGGGTGCCCTAAAGCGCACATGTGGGGCCCTTTCTGGAGTGCGTTCTGTGATTCAGAGTTGTCCGCCCACAAGACTTTGGCGCATGCGACGGATGTCGACGTCGCTGCAGGCCGCGCGAGTGAATGGGAGAGAAGGGCCAATCAGGCTGCAGATCTACATGCGAAGAGAGGCGCTATGATGCACGGCGTCACAGACGATGATGCTGCGATCGTGCGTGGATTTAAGGCCTTGGCGGTGGAGCAAGGACGGTGGGCGGGTCGGCTCGAAGTGCTGCTGTCGGAGGCAGGCTCGAGACAGGACACGCTGGGCTTGATCGGTCAGGCCCCGTGCGCCGAGCCGCCGCCGCCGCCACCGCCAAGTGAGGAGTTGGAGGAGGCCGAGTCGTCGTCTGTCGTCGAGCTGGGGGACGGAGGGATGTGCACGACTTGGGCCGCGGAGGCCAGACACGCGTGGTATTTCAGAAGCCATGCTCTGCTTAAGTGCGACGTCGAGGATGCTGCCGACAGCAACCACGGAGTCGTGTTTTGTTTCATGTGTGGAGGCTACACCTCCGGAGGGGCTCTGAGCAACACGCTGCTCGAGCGTTGCCTGCGCAAGCCGCCGCGCCCTGGAGTGAAGTCCTTGATTATTCGTATCAGGAACGGTAGGCATCCGCACTACCGCGCGTCGACCAGGTCTCTACGGCTCGGACCCCCGCGTTCGTTGAGCCCCAGTGAAAGGGCCGAGCTAGACACCTTGGCAATTCGAGTATGCCCAACGAGCCAGCTGTGCGCTCAGGCTCGGGAGTTTCGTTTGCTGGACTGCCCTCGCAAGCGTCCGTCCTTGCGTCCTTTGGGGTATTGGAGTCCGAGCTGCCGAGAGTGATGGAACTCGGGCAGTCGAAGGCCGCTGAGGGGTCCGACATCGGCTCGGACGCCTCGGACGGCGATCTTTTCTGAGGTTGCACCCGCCTTCAAGGCCAGCCACCACCACCTCCTCCCTGACGCCCCTCCCCTTCCCATCCCAAACCCCTCACGGGGTGCCGCGTCGCCCCGCCTCGTGGCCTCCTCCCCCGCCCGGGCCTCGCCCACAGTACGCTCTGGGGCTCCTGGGCGCTCTCCCCGCCCCGCTCGGGCGCTCCCCCGGCCTCCCCGGACGCCCTCCACCCGTGCCCCACTGATACGCCCCCCGTCCCCTCCCGTCCCCTCTTCTTGTGGGGGGGGGAGGAGGAGGAGGAGGAGGAGGAGGAGGAGGAGGAGGAGGAGGAGGAGGAGGAGGAGGAGGAGGAGGAGGAGGAGGAGGAGGAGGAGGAGGAGGAGGAGGAGGAGGAGGGAGGGAGGAGGAGGAGGAGTGAAGATGGAGGTTTGAGAAGGAGGGGGAGTGAGGAAGGGGAGACGACGGGAGCGGACAGCAAGGATTCACGCAACGAGCCTCCTCGCCAAGTGTGCCGCCGACAAAAAAAAACGTGCCCACCGCAACAGTGTCCCGCGAACATGGCTGAGAACTGGCCAATGGAGCAAGCAAGCCGAACCGGAAAGCTGCGTCCCCTGCCGTCCCTTCTGGTACAAACACGCTCCCGCCCCCCCCGCCCCCATCTACATGACCCCCTCCTGCTCCCCCCTCCCATGTACCCCCTCGTGCCGCGTCCCCCCCAGTTCCCTGTCCTTTGCACCGCCCACGCTCCCCTCCCTCCCCGCACACCTTCCTGACGGCCCGTGCTCCCAAACCTCTCCAACCCGTGGGAAAACGGTCCATGTGGCCAACTGCACTCTGGGATCTTCTCCCTCATCTCGACAGCACTGGTGATCTGGAAGCCGATGGATGCGGGCAGGGGCACGGGAAAGGGGTTAAGAAAAAAAAAAATGAGGGATCGGGTAGGAACGATCGGACTTGTGAAATCTGGCGTCCCCTCGATGTCACCGCAGTTACCGCAGTTGCCGCTCTCCGGCCGCCGCCTGGAGAGCGGCGGCGGGAGACGGGCAGCACCACCGAGCGGAAGACGATGCTCGCTGCGAGGCCGTCCCTCTAGGTCCGTCGACCGCAGGGCACCAGTCCAACGTGGACCCCAGCGTCGGGCAGGACCGCGGACGCCGGGTGGGCCCAGGCAGAGCAAGGAAGGGCCGAGCAGAGCGCGGGGCGAAGCGTCCTGGGGATCGCACGGCAGTGAGGGCGCCGAGATGAGGCGGCGCACCTGCGAACAACAAAAATCTGGCCGACGATCCTCCCAGCGAGGCCGTCTCTGGCGATCCGCTGGCTGCGCGGAACAATGCCACCCGGCAGCGGCGGCGGGCAGACCCGTGGCCACCGAGGCAGACAGACAGGGCGGGGGCGAGAGCGGCGGGAGGAGAGAGGCGGACGCCGGGGCGAGGCGGCGCCGCCCAGGGCTGGCACGGAAGCCGCGGGCCAGTGCAGAGACAAGCAAGCGCAAGGGTGGTCACTCGCTGGGGGGGGGGCGGGGCCGCCGTCGGCAGGTGCGGCCGCGGGCTCGCCATCGCCAACGCAGAGAAGAGACGGCTGCGACAGAGCCATCCTCAGGAACCTGGAACGTCGTCAAGCAACGGCGGGGGCGAATGAGCGTTATTGATGTGCACCATGCCCTGGGGCCTCACACGGGGGGACCTGGCCATGTCGCGGGCCGCGATGAGTTTCGCGTCAGTGGAGGGCGGCAGGAGTGGGGTGAGCCGCCTGGCGCACTGGACCCTGTCCGTGTTTATTTTTCTCGCGGCAAACAGGGCCGCCGAACGGCAGCAAGGGGCGGCACCTTGTGTCGTGCCACCCGAGGACGGCCTCCCGAAAGGCACCACGGAGGTGGGAAGGCCTCCTGGCGTTGCTGGCCGCGTGCGCAGGAGCGTCGGAGATGGTGCACCAATCGCAAAAGAGAACCACGGGTAGTGGCGTCTCGGGGGCGAGCCACTCGCAGCTGCACTCAGGGCGGCGAAGGCGGATGCAACGAGTACGGCCTACCCGCGCCGCAGCTGCTTCAGTGAAAGGCGCACAGACGCGGCCGCGGGAAGGGGCTGAGGCGGGGCGAACACCACCAGGGGGAGCGTCGGGAGACACGACCGCCGTAGCCACCGAGGCACGAACGCACATACAGTGCTCGGCGGGAAAAGGCGCGGGTGATTGCTGGCACACCACGTACATCATGGATCGACAATGCCAGCACACACACACACACACACACACTCACACATTCACGCACACACACACACACACACACACACACGCACACCCACACACACACACACACACACACACACTATGGTTGTATGTATGTATGTATGCATGCATGCATGTATGTATGGTTGTATGCATGGATGCATGCATATATACCTGTATGTGTGTATGCATGCATGCATGCATGCATGCATGTATGTATGTATGTATGCATGCGTGTGTATGCATGCATGTACGGATGTATGTATGTATGGATGTATGCAGGCACGCGTGTATGGATGTATGGATGTGTGAGTGTTTGTATGTTGTATGTGTGTATGCAGACATGCATGCATGCATACATGCATGTATGTATGAATTGTATGTGTGTGTATGTATGTATGTATGTATGTATGTATGTATGCATGCATGCATGCATGCATGTATGTATGTGTGTATGTATTTATGTATGCATGCATGCATGCATGCATGCATGCATGTAGGTATGTATGTATGTGTGTGAATATGTATGTATGTATGTATGCATGTATGTATGTAAGTATGTATGTATGTATGTATGTATGTATGTATGTATGTATGCATGCATGTATGCATGTATGTATGTATGTATGTGCATGTATGTATGTATATATGGTCCAGGGTTTGGGCCCCCACCCCAATGCTGATGCCATCGGGCCCCCCCCCCCGCGCGATGGTCCCCCCCGCCCCCCCCTGTGGGCGTGGCGTGGTGCTGCGCTGCGGTTCCCCCCCCCCCCTGTGGATGTGGTGTGGTGCTGTGGTGGTTCAGAGGTGGGCGTGGCGTGGTGTGCACTGCGGTGCCCCCCTCCCCCCCCCTGTGGATGTGGTGTGGTGCTGTGGTGGTTCAGAGGTCGTCGTCGTCGTCGTCGTCGTCGTCCTCGTCGTCCTCGTCGTCCTCGTCGTCCTCGTCGTCGTCGTCGTCGTCGTCGTCATCGTCGTCGTCGCCGCCGCCGCCGGCGTCGTCGCCGCCGCAGCGTTGTCGTCGTCGTGGTCGTCGTCGTCGTCGTCGTCGCCGTCGTCGCCGTCGTCGCAGCCGTCGTCGTCGTCGTCGTCGTCGTCGTCGTCGTCGTCGTCGTCGTCGTCGTCGTCGTCGTCGTCGTCGTCGTCGTCGTCGTCGTCGTCGTCGTCGTCTCTGGGACCATACCATCTGGGGGGGGGGGGGGCCGAGGAATCCTGGGACCATCCCATCTGGGGGGGGGGGCCCGTGGGCCCTCGACCCTGGATCATATATGTATGTATGTATGTATGTGAATAAGTAAGTAAGTAAAGAAGTAAGCAAATAAGTACGTAAGTAACTAAGTAAGTACGTACGTAAGTAAGTAAGTGTGTATGTATGTATGTATGTATGCATGTATGTATGTATGTATGTATGTATGTATGAATGTATGTATGTATGTATGTATGTATGTATGTATGTATGTATGTATGCATGCATGCATGCATGCATGCATGCATGTATGTATGTATGTATGTATGTAAATACGACGTGGAGGTTTCAGTTCCGTGCTCGTGCCGCGCGTTCGGAGGAGCCGAAGCTGCGTGGATGCGCGACAAGAATGATGCCGCCGTGGCAAGGGGCCATGGAGCCGTTTGACCGCCCCGCCCCTGGGCGCGCGGTGGCCCAGGGTGCCCCGCCTGTGGTGCAGGGGTGCCCCGACGGTGGTGCTGAGGTGCCCCGCCGGTGGTGCGCGGGTGCCCCATTGGTGGTGCGGGGGTGCCCCGTCGGTGGAGGGAGGTGACCCGTCGGTGGCGACATAGTGATATCGATAGTGAGATCGATAGTGAAACCCATAGCGAGGTCAATCGTGAGAACGATAGTGAGTTCTATGGTGACATCGATTGTGAGATCGACAGTGATATCTGTGGCAAAACCGATTGTGAGATCGATACCCCGTCGGTGGCGGGGGGTGCCCCGTCGGTGGCGCGATTGTGCTGAGACCGATCATGACACCGATACTGATATCGATTGTGAAATCGATAGTCAGATCGATCGTGACATCTGTGCTGAGATCGATTTGCTATTGATAGTGAGGTCGATCGTGAGACCGACTGTGAGATCGATAGTGGGATCCATTGTGAGGCCGAAGTGGGTTCGATGGGGAGGTCTAGAGCGAAACCTGTGGTGACATCGATTCTGGAACCGATCGTGAGACCGATTGAGAAATCGATAGTGTGATCGATCGTGAGACCGATTCTGACACCGATGGTGAGATCGATAGCTCTGGGGGGGGAAACCAACTAACGACAACTTCGATGACTTTGATGGCGACGCCATTGCGGCGCTGATTGCAAACGAATTCACGAACGACCTCCCACGGGATCCCACCATCGACCACTCTGTCGATCTCACAATCGATATTGTCATCGCACTCTCTATATTAATCACTCATGGTTACCTCTACATCCCCTGGCCAACAATTTCCTCTTGGCGCTGAATCTCACGGTCCCACGCGGTTCACGGGCCCTCCGGGAAATCAAAGCGGCGAACCCAATGAGTGTCGCACGGATCCGATTTCCTACCTTACCGTAATCGTCAAGTCGCGGCGGATCCCATTTCCGTGCGCGCGGATCCCACTTCTGATTTTCGGGATCCGCGCCGGACTCTATTCTGTACGGCGGATCCCATGTCTACTCCGTTTTGAATTTATACTATTAAATTCGTTCCGGGAACCGACAAGAATGGGATCCGTCGACCGCAGGCCCCCCCCGTGTTCAGATTCTTCGGGGGAC